TATTTGTTGTGTGACTGATTTATAAAAAATTCATGAACTTAAAAGAAAGAATCGATGAATGATATTTATTCCAGCATCAAAGAATTTCTTCTGTGTAGAATGATAACTGATACATCAGATGAAAAGGCAAGTAAATTTAGTTTCATGACAATTAAAAACATTTCATTGTAAAGAAAGCCTAGATAGGACTTAAAATTATCAAATTATTAAATTATTAAATTTATCAGATTGTTGTGATTCTTAAAATATTTTAAATTGCAGTATTGTTATTACAGACCCAAAGAAGATTTGACCATTCATTTATTTTAAACCTGTTTTATGGTGTGCCAGGGTACTGGGGATATACCAAGCTAAAAAGCTCTCATGAGCCTTCTTTATAGCATGGTAGGGCTGTCTCGAGTAGGAATACATGCGCAGTGTGCTCTATGGTGATAGGGGCTTTAGAGACACGAAGGGGCAGGGGTGAAGGATAAAGAAAAATATTGGCCACAGGGGACTTGTCTTTTCTGTTTCCAAGACTTTGTATGCTGTGCAAGAAGGCCTCTGGTGAGGCCTTAAGAAGTTTCTTCCTTGCCTTTGTGGGTCAGTTGTGAGCACAGAGATTCCCTTGTTCCACCTCTCCCGCCACACTAGCTCAGTTCACGCACTCAGATAGATACTTCCTTCCCCTGATGTTCCATCTTGCTGATCAATGACTTCTTTCAAGATAGCTCTCGTGGAGTTGTGAGTCCATTTAAGGTGACAAGGAAGATTTGCAGACATTGCACATTCCCCGAAGTTCACAGAAGTGCTGACATACACTAAGAAGAAAACAAATTGCGTAAGCTTCCTAGTTGAAGCAGGAAACTTTTTGCCTTTTACTTTTATTTACTTAGCAAGGTGTTTTTGTTGTTCTTTATTTAGGGCTGAATAAAGATTTGAAGGCATGTTCTGTTCTGTATGATTCTTTCGCTGTGTTTGTAAGGAAATGATTTAGTTCATCTGCAGAATAGAAGTGACTGATTTGTCTATCTCCAAGATGAAAACTAAAGTAGAAGTCTGAGCCTCTTGGAAGCCATAGAGAAGAGAACTTGTGTTAGGCGGCTGTGAAGCCTCCATGTACCCAGGAGCTATATGCATGACACTGGACATCATCTGAACCAGAGATGTTCTACTCTTAGCAACAGAAGGGTTTCATATGTATTGACAAAGATCCTTGTGTGAATGTTGTTAGCATTGTTTTTTTTAATTGGCTCAAGGAGTGGTGGGTTAAAGGGTTGAAAGGTGAGATTTTACCCTGAGAGTCTTGTATTGAGAATGATCCTACCAACACTGTCAACTGTAGAAATAGAGAACTGAAATTCTTATGGCAACAGGTTTGCCAGAATGGATTACATTGAAATTTTGCTATCATAGGCATATATTCTTCTTCTTTGCCAGGTTAAGGCTACATTCATATTTTTTGACCTTTGAATATGTAGTCCTTATCTCATATGAAAGCATGAATTGTCAGTCTGAGTGCATATAATTTGCTATGCTTTTACTAAGCTAAATCGAAATTTGAGCTCGAAGCCACTTGAAACCTGGAGTAATTAACACTGGTCTTCATTTGATATACACCATACCGAACAGGAAAACTGAATAGAGAAAGAAATAAAATTGGAGCAGGATGGCATAGCAAGAATGGAAGATCCAAATCTCTTTTTCTAGCATGGAGCTAGACAACAGGAAAAGGAATGTCAAAGAGTACAGACCAAACTCGGTGGGTTGAGAAAATGCAGCATTTTTGTCCAAATCCAGGGGATTGAGAAGATGCAGCATTTTTGATAGTTTAGGTTTTAGCACCTGGTTGTTCATATGCTTTATTAGAAAGATGTGTATGTATATATATATAGTGTATATAGTTATATAGTTATATGTATATTGTTATATAGTATATAGTTATAATTACTCTGCTTGTGTATAGGGTAGGATATAGTGTGTGTAGTATGTGTTCATATATATATGTCTGTGTGAGTGTGTATAATGTCTATAAAACCAATATTGAATTAGTAGATAATACTAATAATAATTTAATTTACTACTACTACTAATTTAATAAGTTATGCCAACAATTTGTACTGAGGCAGTACCCCCCCTTTTTTTTTAGGAAAACAAAGCATAATATGACCAAAAACTAAATTCCCTGCCTCATTTGAATAAGTTCAAGAAATGATAAATAAGTGTAAGAGGAGTTCTATTATGTCCTGTCAGAATGATAAGGAAGGACTAAAGTTAAATTTTGAAACACACAGTTGTAGGGAAGAAGGTCATACTTGAGCAAAAACATGGAAGTAATAATGGAACGAGCCATATTAGTAAAAGCGTCCCAGGAGAGGACACAGGAGTAAAAAGACCTCAGGTGGGAATTTGCTTCATGTGATTGAATGCATTAGAGCCTCTATTTGCTCAGCCTCAAAATGGAGATAACAGCACTTGATCTTCTCATTCCCTGGCCTGGGACTGATTGGAACAGTTTCAGAAAGGCTGCCAGGCCAGGCTAGGATCATTCTGAGCTGGATAACAGATATCAGAGCTAATTGTAGCAATTTAAAAATGTTCTTAAATCAATGGAAGACACCATGGAATTGTTTTCCTTTGATACCCTTAAGTACCTAATTAATGTCTGGTTGATCCAGATATTTTTAACTGAGCGTCACGAGCTTTCACTTCCTTTGTAGTTCTGTGGATCTGCTCACCAGACTAATATATAAGATTTGTGTTGCTGAAGTCTTCATATGCCTTTGAGTCTACCCCACACCACCCTGCCTGACTTGGCTCTGTTGGGTGACCCTGATCACAGATCCCGAGCTTGAGCATTGTTTAGGAGGAAATTCCTTGGTTCCTTTATTATTATTATAAGTAGTAGTAGTATCATTGCTGTCATTATATTTGAGATCTATGTATCCCCCTTCTGACCCTTGCCTTGACTAGCCCCACAGAGTCTGAAGCCAGACTGTCAACTGAGATCACTGCAGTGACAAGTACTACTCTTCCTCCTGAACTTTCACTTCCCTAGCTCTTTGGTGGCACTGTAGGAGGTGGACATCCTGAATTTTAGTACGTGCTGAGCTGAGAAACCCAGAAACATCATCTGTACAGTGCAAGGAAGTGAGTTTGCCATGGTCTCTGGCCGGGAAACCCAAGCCTTTCCAGTTCTTTAAGTGAGGACTCGGATGACAGCGCAGGTGTGGTTCACCTAGCTTCATAGCTCTGATATAGCTCTCTCGGTCTTTACAGGTTTTTACTTCTTTATTCCCTGCTTTCCTTCTGCTTGCCTTCGTTCCTTCTTTCTGATTGTCATGAATGAAATAGAGGAATACAAACCTTGTGGTGTGGGCTTGGAATCCTAGCCTTTTTAAAGAGACAGGGTCAGGAGAATCCTAAGTTCCAAGCCGGCTTGGGTAACTTGGTAAGAGAGTTTCAAAATAAAAATATAAAGACAGGGCTGCAGGTACAGCTTAATGATAGGACACTTGCCCAGCATGTAGAAAGCTTTAGGTTCAAACCCAAGCACCATGACATTATGCTGCAAATCTTTATAAGAATTTACTTTCGTTTTGGTTTTACCTCACTAGAGCTAGCTCTATGGTTGAGATCAAGTGGAGAGGCCAACTTAGCTCTTCTCACCCTTCCAGACCATCGGCAGCCACCATGGTGATCCAGCTCTCGTGGCTTCCAACTATGCTCATGCGCACTCCATTTATATCCCCTTTTTATTGCTACACCTTCTATACTTACGTTTCTTACATTGTGGAAAACCTTAGACTTTTATTTCTTCTTTGTAGATGTAGAAAGTGAAAAGGCATGCTTTATCAAATCCCAAAGCCCCATGGTGACTAGGTTAGGTCTACGTCTTGGAACTGTTGACCCTGGGGGTCAGCATCCTCCTTTAGAAAATATGCTTCATCTTGTAGAAACGCCATTTCTATCGTATCTCTCAAAAGTACCCAAGGGTACAATTCTCTACATAGGCGTAATTACTAGCATTACAAATATGTACTCGCTTCTTGATGATCGCCTCTTCTCTGTTTCTAATTGGCCATGAGAGGACTTCCTAGGTGCATGTGTGTACAGAGCTCAGGCTTTCGATTTGGTTGGAGTCTTGGTATGACAATAACTGTACAGAGATATGCGCCACCTGCCAACACTTTACCTTGAAGAAATCACCTATTTTGCTCTGAGTTTTAAAGATTTATCTTCCTAGTAGTTCGAGAACCACATAAGACACGTGCTAACTACATAAGCATGTGCCGAATTCTGCTTTGACCTTTATGCCTTTGTGGTCTTTGTTTCTGTTTTTAAGCATGTGACTTTAGAGTGAATAACCACAGAAGAACCAGAAAGATGAAAGTCCTGAGAGTAGAACTAAAGACTGAGGAGATGAGGGAATGATTCTCCTTATCCATGACGTTGGTCCTTCAGTTAAACTACTGGACCATTCACTTGTCTGTAGTCAGTTTGCTTCTCAGTGTGCAGACACCGGGTTTGTTCAATACAGAGCACTAAATATAGGGAAAAGGAAACAATAACATAAAAAATATGGCCATGTAGGTGGATATGAGCATGTAACTACAAAACAGGGACACTTGGTGGCAGGCCAGTGAAAAATGATGTTGATTAGATAAAGCAAAATGTCGCCTATCAAGGAGAACATTTTTAATGCACTCTAGTCCAGGATATTTATGCTTTTTTTTTGTGCAAGATTCAATACTTGTCTGTAAAAATAAGACATGGAATCAACTCTGCCTGTTAGGTTGAGAACCTGTGATGAGGAAAAAAAAAAAAAGAAAAAGAAAAAAAGAAAAATCTAGGTGCTGAACAGAGAGGCATAGCTTATATTTTTCATATTTTTCTTCTATTGGGTTGGTTGTCCAAGAAAAGGAGGGTGACTGATATTTTTCAGTGCAGCATTTAACATTTTCCTTTGCCCTCTGTGCTATCCAGTGTAAGAAAATAAGGCAAAACGTCTCTTTTTCCAGGGCAACTTTTCCTTCCAGTTCTGCCGAAGGTGGTCCAGGCCTCACAGTTGGTTTCCTCAAAGAGCGCCACACGATGGCGACAATGTCACAGTGGAGACCGGTGAACTGCTGCTGCTCGATGTGAACACAAGCATCCTGAACTCGCTGCACATTAAAGGTCTGTGGCGTTTGGACATCAAGTAACACCGACCTCTGCAATCCTGTCACTCACTGGTTGTGGGAAGGAGGGGGAGGTCCAGAAGTTGCAACATTTGATTGACAATTTATTTTGAAACCGAATTGAGACTCACTTTTTGTTTTTGTTTTTGTTTTTGTTTTTTTTAACAAAAAGAGGGAGGTTCAAAGTAAAAGGCCATTCTGTTCAGCTCTTTTCAACCTCAGAGCTTAATCACTTTAATTTTTTGAAAACAAGAAAGTTAACAGTGTTTCTCAGGAGCAGCTGCCTAGCCCAAGCCCTTTGTGGTCACGCTTATCCAGGGCAGCCCCCACAATACAGCAAATGCCTTGAAATTGGTTAATGCTGCTGCCTTTGAAATGCTCTGCCAAGAAAGCAACGTCTTCCTGCTCTTACCTTGTTGTGGTTTTGACTTCTTGGTCCCATGGAAAGTCATATAAATAGGCTTCCTTAGTGCAAAACCGTCCACATAGCTCTAGGGTGTAGGAAGTTGGAGAAGCCTGGGAATTCAAATTTCGACTCATCTCCCATGTGGCTAAGTCTGTCATTTCATCTCTGTATATTTCTTTCCATATCGGTTAAATGATAATCAAACACACGGCCTACTTCAGGGGTTGATAGTAAGACATGGTTACTAAAGTGCCTTTTCTCATTGTCAAATGAAAGTTGTATGTGAGAAATGCTTAGCTATGGATGCCTAGAAGACTTGAGGCTTAAACACTAGTGCATGTATATACTCTTGTTAGAGTGAGAGTGTGTCCACACAACCGAACATTTGGAAGAGGATTACCTAAAGCACTTTTGTTATCTGTTTCACACTGACTGAATCAAGTTTTTCTGATCGGTTATTGTGACATTCTGTATTCTGGATGCTACTTTTATTTTTCTTTGGTCCCAGGAGAGAAGTTTTCTGTCAAGACAGGTAATTAGTGCCCTTTAAAAGGGAGACTATCTGCCATATGAGACTTTGGCCCTGTCTTTGTGATTTCTCTCTTTATGAATGAATGCATGAATGTAGTATGTATGGATGCATATACGCAGTTCAGTAGCTATGGGGGCATGTATGTATGTTTGTGTATCTATAAATCTGTATGTTTGTATGTGACCTAGTGGCTATGGGGATTACGTATGCATATATTTATGTGATTTAATGGCTACGTGATGTGTGTCTGTATGTGGCTTAGTGACTATGGGAATATACATGAATATGCGTCTTTGTGGCTATGAGATGTATATACATAGCATGTATGTATGCATACATGTACATACATATGTGGTTTAGTGGCTATAGGGAAAGTCTGTCTGTCACTGTGAATATCCTGAAGACAAGCAACGGCAAAGTAAAATTAGGGGCTCATGACTCCTCTCAAAGCTTGCTAGGCTTTAAGCTCCGAATTCTGCCGGAGGTTGGGGTACCCCGCAGCTGCTCAAGGGGCTTGGCCTTTTGTTGATGTTACTGTTTGGGAGACGCTTTCTAATGCAAAGTCCTAGATTTCTCAGTCTAGTCTCTGGACAGATCCTGTTTTCCAGTCATGTTTAATCAAGAAATAGTGTTGAGAGGACAAGGTAAGGAAGAAGAGGCATCAGACGGGGAGTCAAGGGGTAGGAGAAAGGAAGAATCACATGCAGCGTGTGTACAGCTTCTCTCCGTAGACTCACAGACGCCAATAACCCACACAATTTACCCCCCGCCCCCCACTCCTGGTTTCCATAATCTATATTTTTCATTTTTTCTCATTTATTTATTTAATTCACTTTACATCCTCGTAAGCCCTTTCCTCCTCACCTCCTAGGCTCACCTTCTCTCCCTCCTCTTCCTTCCCTTTCCTCAGAAAAGCATAGCTCTCTTTCCTATCTACCCAGCTCATCAAGTTGCATCAAGACTGAATGTGTCCTTTCCCCCTGTGGCCTATCAAGGCAGTTCTGCCAGGGGAAAGTGATCTAAAAGCCAGCAAGTGAGTCCATGTCTGATGCAGTCCCCACTTTTCTTAAATCTTCCTATATTTAAGAAATATAGTTAGACTATATTTCAGGGTAGTGTAGAATCAGTGAGCTGTATTTGGAAGGTCAGACTCTCATTCTGGAGAAGAGACAGGCTGGTTGGAATGTGAGAATAAGGAGTATGTATCAGTTTTTGTATATATAGTGTACATAAGATTTTGGCAGTGAGGAAAGTCACCTTCAGAGAAGCTGCTTTTTATCATAGAGACATGAGCTGTGTATCTAGAAATAATGAGAACAATGAAAAGACACAGATCAAATTTTGTCCAACAGATAATTTGTGAATGCTTATTAAGTGGCCCGAGAATTCTCTGTGATACAAGAAAAAGCGAAGAAAACTATTAATACTTAATGCCAGTAGGAAGCAATATTATCAAAGGGAAAGTAACTAGGGGAATACATATGACAGACTGAAGTTTCTAGTCCTAAAGCAGCTGATAAATAGGGGTAGCAATGTATAGTGCAGAGTGAGAGATTAGGTTGGTCGGGGTATGTGATTCGAGTTGAGTTGTGCAGAGGATTCAGAGGAAGCCATTTTTGAGGTATGATAATAGTTCAAGTCAGCAAAGTGCTTGCTGGGAAAACATAAGAACCCAAGTTCCATCTTCAGATCTTACATGAAAATGCCTGGTGTGGTGACATGCACTTGTAACCCCAATGCCAGGGAGACATACACAGGCAGATCCCTGGGGCTCCCTGGTCAGCCAGTCTATCTAGCCTATTCGGTAAGTTCAAGGACATGAGCCACTCTATCTCAATGAAGGTACATAGCATTTTCCAAGGTTGACCTCTGCATATACCCACATTCATGTGAACATGCCCACATATTCTCACACGTGCATGAAAAGGGATTATGCCATATAAATGTAACTTTTATATACATAATTCAGTTGATGTCTCAGAAGCTTACTGCTTCCATCTGCTAACCTAGGCACAGGCCTGGAAGCTTCCAGCCTCCATACAATCTAATCTAGGCCTAGAATGATTCAGCCACTGAGACTCACTACTGAATATGGCCACCCTTTCTAGTTTTTTTTCTGAACTCTGGCTGGCTGGTTCAACTCCGCTGTTCTGGATCAAACTCCTCTCCAAGCTGACTGATTCAAACTGGCTTCTCTCAACTTCTGAAAGAATCATTCTGCTTGTCTTCAGACTAACTCTAGCAATCTTTTTTAGTCTTCTGGCCCCATCTCCTCTGGGCTCATTTGTCTTCACTGTGTTTAGCTTGTTCTCTCTACTACTAGTCTCTGTAAAACTGTGCAGTAAAACTGCCTTTTCTCTCTGTCCTTGTGAGCTGCTCTCTCAAGTCACCTCCCTTTCTTTTCTTTTCTTGTGAGGGTTGAGCATATCCTATTCTGTCAAATCTTTCCCTCATTAGTTATGTTGTCTGTCCCTCAATTAGACATCACTTTCAAACATGGGTGCTTTCTCCTATGCACTAACCTTACCTTCAGTGTTAAGGGTTAAATGTGTGTACTAAGGGCGAGTCTGCATTTCAGCCACATCACACAGGCCTAGAAGGTGATAAGAGCAGCCATGTTGCTGAATTAAAATTTCTCTATAATGCTATTTACTTTAGACTTATGTTTTGATCATTTGAATGATCAAAGTTAGAGGAACTTCCCCACTTCATGCACTGAGATTACGTGTTTCTAGTGACCAGCCTACTGACAGCCTTCACTCTGTTTCACATGTTCTATATAACTTACCCATCAGTGATTTCTGCTGTCTCAAGCTTTACTAGGTTTTTCATACATTTATGCTCAAAATCAGTGCTGTTTTAGATGTGATTACTGTAAATTTATGCCTGAATTACTACAATTTGCCTCTAAGTTGTTCCTAGTGATCTGTTTTTTTTTTGTTTTGTTTTGTTTTGTTTTGTTTTGTAGCTGGGCATAGTCTTGTGCTAACACCTGGCCAGTGAGATCCAAGAGGAAAATTATGTGGGATAAATGGGAAGCTGACAGCTAATGCAGCCACTGTATTAAATCATAAGGTGGTGGTAAGAAAGGGGAAGAAGGAACATGAAAGGAACCTGGGATCTTGATGATTCTGGCGTTGTTGTAGTATTGGGCTGGCCACTTTAAAACCTATGTTTTATTCTTTCTTTGAGAAGTTCACATGTGCATACAATGTATTTTGATCACATTCCTCCCCAACTCCTTGCTCTAACTTCTTCTAGATCTATTCTCCAAACCGTAACTTCTCCCAAAGTCTTGTTTTAATAAGCCTCTGAGTCGAGTCTAAGTTGACAGCCCATAGGTACATGGGTGTGGGACCATTCATTGGAACATAGGTAACCTACCTGGGGATAGAACGCTGAAGAGGAGCAGAGGCTGTCTCTGACATGGACTCAGTGGCAGGCTCTTTGATCACCTCCCCCTGAGGGGGGAGCAACCTGTCCAGGCCACAGAGGAAGACAATTCAAACTATCCTGATGAGACCTGATAGGCCTGGAAGCAGAGGAGGTCCTCCCCTATCAGTGGACTGGGGAAGGGGCATGGGAGGAGAAGAGGGAGGGAGGGAAGGTGGGATTGGGAAGGGACGAGGAAGGGGACTACAGCTGGGATACAAAGTGAATAAATTGTAATAAATAAAAAATTATATTAAAGAAAGGAAACTGACAATCTCTCCCTAGCAGCCAGCAGCTCTCTATAGCTCCTGAGCTGGTGGTGGGGGCTCAGCCTCACTTTATGAGCCCCTCCTCACTTTATGTAGGAGTAAGTCCACTTTTGAAATAGGCCATTTCAAATGGAAAAGAAGATTTCTTGTACTGAAGTCATTGAAAGTTGCCTATTGTGCTATATGCTTAGGTTAACTCTATCAGTGTTAGCTCATGCCTTCTAAACATATGAAACATCCTATCATTGCTTCTCTCTTCAAATGCTTCTAATGACCTAAAGTCTCATCAAGAGTAAAACCCAAAGCCCTTATTATTCTGTTACCTCAGATTTCTTCTTTGATCTTATCATCCTTATTCA